GTGTGTGTGTGTGTGTGTGTGTGTGTGTGTGAGAGAGAGAGAGAGAGAGAGAGAGAGAGAGGGAGAGAGAGAGAGAGAGAGAGAGATCTTCTTCCATGTCTCCCTTCTTATCCTCCTCTTCTTGAGATCGGACGTCATGAGGAGACTTGCTATGAGAGAGGTCAGAAAAGAAAAAAGAGAGAGAGAGAGAGGAAAAAAGAGAAGTCGAGATTGGGTACTGAACTGGACTATCAGCAGACTTGTTTTGATTCAGTTAACGACTTGGGGAGACTACTGACCGAGCCGTCATTGGGCGTCGCTGCACTACTCTCGACGTGCACAAAAGACAAAAATGATGGCGGTGCATCTTTCCATATTCTAGCGGAAGATGCACTCTCGTTTTGCACATTTCGAGAGTAGTGCAGCGAGGCCCATTGTGTACATCTTCTTCCTCCTCCTCCCCCATCTCGTCTGTCTCCCTCCTCACCTCCGTCGTCCTTGTATGAGGTCCAGCGCCAGGCGCAGTCTTTGTCTTATTCAGCGTCTCCCGTGGTGCACTCTGATTTGTGAGAGGCATTCCGATTGAGAATCCAAGCCAGATTCAGAGTATCCCCTGGGGCACTCTCGACTGTGAGAGTCAGTCCAAGCCAGACGTATGTATTTTTTCATTATTTTCATTATTTTTATTATTATTTTTATTATTATTATTATTTGCGACTTGCGCTTTAGATAAATATATACTGAGGGCATACTCACACTCGACCACGAGCAGGATTCCGCTGCCGTCCGTCTGTGCTGCCCGGGATAGAAGGTATGGTTGTTATATCCGTATCTAGTGAAAGCTCTAGACTGGGTACATTCACAATAACTAGGGCCTGGCCTTCTATTTGGGCGTCAAAGGGAAGAGGATAGCACTATGGCACGGATTAAACTAGCACTACATTCGACTCCCCCGGCTGTGACAAATGACCCGGTGAGCTGCACCTGAACTGCGAGCTCCTCGATCGCAATGAAGACAAAGCTTCTTCTGTAGCTTTCCTTTTTTTTTTTTTTTTTTTTTTTTTTTTTTTTTAAAAACATTTTTTCACACACACACGTGGGGCAAGTGCCCGTTTTTTTTTGCTACCAGTTTTTTTTTTTTCTTTTCTTTCTCATTTTTTTTTTTTTTTTTTTTTTTTTTGTTTGAAAAGCTTCTGTTCTCCTCTCGATAGCATTCGCTTGCTCCTCTTTCTCTCAGAGTCTGCATTTCGTATCCGTCCTCCTGCCTTGGAGCGCCATTGGCGTCCTCCTCTCCTCTGTCTCTCTTATTCGTTTTCCTGCTAACTGTCCGTGTCGGCGCTACACATCACTCCTCCTCCTCCTCCTCCCCCTGCTGCTGCTTCTCCCCTCCTCCTCCTCCTTTCCTGATTCTACTCCTCCTCCTCCTCCCCCC